ATCCATGAAGTCACTGACAAGTGGACTGAGTCATGTTGGTAGATGTATGCTACCTGGTTGGGGTCCGCAAGACGAAAGTCACCAATGGTTAGAGACCTTGAACGACATGGCTCGAAACCGTTTGTAATGGCGCAAGTGCCTCTAAACTTTGTGATCACTCAAATTCTAACCTTCTGAATTCCTCATCATCTCTATCTTTCTTTTTCGAGAGTTATCTCACTGAATCATACTTCTCGAATCATATCTTCGCTCCCTAATCTTCTCCATTACTGCTAATACTTCTACTATCGCTATCACTCTTGGATTTGAACTGACAGTTGCGTCTCTGTGCTAATGTGGTATGGCAACCTGAACTGATGTACTTATGTACGAAGTTCTGCATTGTATCTGTCTGTCTGTCTGTCTATCATGATTTTCAATCATACTCTGAATGAGATCAGTCTGTGAATGAATACAATTTTTTACAAGTCTATGATATGATACATACATAACCGGATAAAACAGTTTGTTTTTCTTAAATTTAAATTAAGAGTGAATTAAATTCACGACAAATCTGATTTGTATACTTGACTAAAACAAACTCTAAATCTTATGACTGTTGTTATTCACTAATAAGAAGATATATTGTACTAATAATAATACATAAAGGTATTTTATGAAAAGTGTATTGATTAATTTACTGTGTTTATTTATTGTTGTTCATGTGTCACTCACTAACTGTATATGTCCGTATTTCTATCAACTACACCAAGGTTTGCTCATTTCTACAAAGCTTCTCTCAATATTTGTGTCTGAATTTAAAACCTGAACTGAAATAATCATTAATGTCATAATTGGTGGTGGTGATTTACACGTGAGATGAGTAAATTTCAGGTCAAATTGTGTGTGTAACAGGAAGTGATTGTTGTGATTATGGTTGTTGAATCGATAAATTGGTGATTTTCATTCTGCCTCGAACTACTACTGTGCTTCATCTAATTTAAATGTAAATGTTCCGGCGCTAAACTATGTTGTAGAAAGAAGATAACATGTTTTCGCTCTGCATAATTATTGTGATCGGTTTTTTAATCTTTTAAGGAACTACACTGATCACTATTGACTAGCTTCGTGAGGGATCTTCTTCGAGTTCTAGTGGGAAATTGTGATCAGTGAAGTTCAACCTGTTCGGGTGTAGACAGTAACTACCGAAGATTGTGTATGAGGTTGCGCGACTATGTGAATTGATCGAAGTTAGACATTAACACCGTTAGATGCCACCGGCTCAGTGGCTCAGGGTTTAAACGTTCGCGCACTAGACCGAAGGTCCTGGGTTCGAATCTCGTGGGGTGCAGGAGTCGTGGATTTTCACTGCTTATGGGTTCCCATACCAGGATGAAATGGCCTTCCAGTGCTTCCAGGTTTATAATGGTGGTCTAACATTGATTAATTCATGGTTTCAAAACGTGTAACTTATCAATCTTCATAACCCCGTAATATATATATATATATATATATATATATATATATATATATATATATATATCTACCAACATGACTCAGTCCACTTATCAGTGACCTCATGCATTTGTGCCATGTTTTCGTCTGGCCGCCAATATATATATATATATATATATATATATATATATATATATATAATGTTAAATACTCTATTGTGTCTAAGCTAATGAAACATGAACAAGCAAATTAACTGATGAGAAGAACTCACTTATTTAATTGTCTGTAATTAAATAATATCAGTTTTGTAGATCCATTTCTAATCGATGTGATTGGATGAATTTGTCATTAGTAATCGTTATGAACTAACCTGAGTTGATGTATTAGTAAAAAGTATAAATCACTGAACACATGGTTCATTCTAATGCTGGGACGCCTTAACTGTGTGTGTTGGTATGTACAACTGTATTAGAAATAGTATGTTGCGTCCACAAGATTCCCACTATAAAAAATGCTTAATCATTATTTCCAATAGGTTGATATACACATTTCAGATGGTAGGGAAAATTTGTTGTAGCTCAGGTGGATGATTGTGGTGCTGGTTTCGTTCTCTAAGCTGGATTGATTGATTGATCTTGCTTGATTGGTTAGCAGAACAAACGTGGAGAAATTCGAATACTTCACTTCTTCTACCTGAAGTTTGTACTGATGATGCTGTTCAGAAGAACAATGAAATCTCTACAATCGAATCATTCAGCTCACAGAATGAAACTCCACCACAATGCTTATTTCAACCCTGTAGTCTATATATGTTGTATGAAGTATTTTTGAAAAAAACATGAATATGTTAATATCGAGTTGTATTAATTATTTACTAGTGTAGATTTAAGCGTGTATAAGCATTACTTTTATTGATCAGTTCAGGTGTTTGACTTTCGTATTGATAAGGATGAAATATAATTTATATTCCACTGAATTTTGTGTTAATGAGTAATGGAATATGCAAGAATATAGTGCTGGACACACTTGTATCAGTTTATGACTAGTTTATGATGTAAGTTTGTTGATTTGCTTGCTTCACAGAACACTTTTTGATTTGAAACCGGAAATTTTGAACTATTGAATTCCACTTGTATTGTTTAAATCTATCATTTTATTGAAAAAGCCTGAAAATTATCGGCTTGTTTCTTCTACATTTGAGATTGTTAGATGCTTTGTTCAAAGTAGCAAAACTTGAATTATCTATTTCAGTTCAATGCTTGACTTGTCTAGATCTCTTTATCAGTCTACATTAAAATGGTCACTTGAAGATCACTTAAAAACTTGTCAGAAGTTGTATTGTTAGTGATATATTTGTCACTAGGTATGCTTGAAGCTATTACAAGTTCACTTTAGTCGATAAACACGAACGAGACAATCAACCAGCGTCCAGATAGGCTACCTTGAATCCCAAACTGCAAAACAGAAGTCTTCGTGAGCGTAGAAAGTATATTCTACAAACACCCAGTAATCACAATACAATCAAGCAAACAAATCTCGTTTATTTATACATCATAGAAACGTCGTTGGGAGAGTCACAGCCTAAAATACACAGCAGTCAATCACAGCCATGGATTTTCCTGGTGGGAAGTGAAATCTCAAGGTCAACTGATCCGCCCATGCTCGCAAACATGAATCCAAAATAAGGCATTTTTATCAAGCGAGTTTTGGGGATCTAACATCCTCAACAGTTAACTTCGATCTTTACGGTACAGGTTACTTTACGAATACTTTATACAAGTTAAAGATCGATCATATATGCCAATAATATTACATGCAACAAATTTAATTGACCACACATCCATTACTGATTAAAAATCATTTCTTTTGATTGATACATTATGATACTCTTAGCGTGGTGCGAGCTACTTATAAGTAGTATATGACGTGAGTGTCAACGTAATGTCTGGCAGCAGAAGATGGGGGGGAAGATCAAGAAAGGAAGAGTTAGAACACAATGGAATTTGTATGAAACGCATGAATAGTAGTGACAATGGATTGATGTTTTGCAACAGGAACAGTCCAGTTCGATATGATGAACTGATATTTTGCAAATGAACGATTTACGATATGGTTTTCCGATTTTACTGAGTAACTTTGTAATTTTCGTAAAAATACAATTCGGTTGCCCCACCCGTGTTCTCCTTCACTACAGTATGAGACGTTAAGTGGAGATAAGTTTTCGAGATTTGACTTAACTATTTAGCAAAGTGATTAACATGATTTTGTGCATTCATCTTCCGACTAGAAAGCCATGTGTTCAATCTATGATTTAATGTTAACTGTCCTGGAGAGTTCCTTTTTTTTAAAAGAAAGAAATGACTATCTAGTATGCCTTAATTGTTAATGAATAGTTTATGAAAACACAGTGGCATTACGAAGGATTTATAAGTGTTGGGGATGTTAGATTTCCAGAAGTCGCTTGATAAATGCCTTATTTTGGATTTCACGTTTGCCAGCATGCGCCGATCAGTTGACCTTGAGATTTCATTTCCCACCAGGACAATCCTTGGCTGTGATTGGCTGCTGTGTATTTTAGTGTGCTATTTTTGTGACTCTCCCATGGACGTTTCTAGGATGTATAAATAAATGTGAGTTGTATGCTTGATTGTACTGTGATTGCTGGGTGTTTGTAAAATATACTTTCTACGCTTACAAAGCCTTTGTTCTTCAGCTTGGGATTTAAGGTAGCCTATCTGGATGTTGGTAATTGTCTCGTTCGTGTTTATTGACTAAGATGAACTTGTAATAGCTTCAAGCGTACCTAGTGACAAACCCTACAATATGAAGAATGAGTCCGATGGAACCATTCACCTTCTTTAACACTTAGAAGAACTCAACTAATTTATTTATTCAGCGTCATCCCACATATTCCTGCCTTCATGATATACTATTATGGTTGATTTGTGTGTGTTCGTTGTATTCCACACACAGAAATAATTACACATGTAGGAGTTACATATGACTTGATTATTTTGCCGTATAGTGAGTGATAAGAAAACAGTGTTTCATCATCCTTTTAAACGTTTTGAGCACTGTAAGATAGTATTGTGGTGCGAGCTACTTATAAGTAGTATATGACGTGAGTGTCAACGTAATGTCTGGTAGCAGAAGATGGGGGAAGATCAAGAAACGAAGAGTGGGCGGAACACAATGGAATTCGTATGAAACGCATGAATAGTAGTGACAATGGATTGATGTTTTGCAACAGGAACAGTCCAGTTCGATATGATGATGAACTGATATTTTGCAAATGAACAATTTACGATATGGTTTTCCGATTTTACTGAGTAACTCTGTAATTTTCGTTAAATACAATTCGGTTGCCCCACCTGTGTTCTCCTTCACTACAGTATTACTTCTGTAAGATGAAAGTAGGTTATCTGTTGAATTTCACGTGAAAACTCAAGTTGTTAAAATTGATTCTATCTCACTAAAGAATAACTTAATATGTTGATTTCTACTAACCTAGTCATTCATTTCCTAATAATTTTCTCATATATTATGTTTGTTTACTGATTTATTAGGAAACGAAAGTATTGGCAAATGTGAAACATCGATATCCTGTTACTGGTTTAGCTAAACGAATGAGTATTGCTGCATCGGATCTTTTAGGCAAATCGGTAACTTCCTTTGTTGTTTGATTATTATTATTATTATTATTATTATTAACAACTGGTTGCTTGTTTAAGTTTAAAAGAAAGCCTGTTTCAGTCAGTCGAAATCATCACTGAGCATGGGACATACGTCTGTTAACCCAAGTTGTCTGATGTTTTCTGAGATGTTTAGCAAAGGATTTGAAATGATTGTAATAGTGTAGTGAACGATAACACAGGTGAGGCAACCGAACTCTATTTAACGAAAATTACAGAGTCACTCAGTAAAATAGGAAAACCATATCGTAAATCGTTAATTTGCAAAATATCAGTTCATCATATCGAACTGGACTGTTCCCGTTGCAAGACATCAATCCATTGTCACTCACTATTCATGTGTTTCATACAAATTCCATTGTATTCTAACTCTTCCGGAACGGAGAGGTATGTATCACGAAATATTGAAACTTAAGATCAGGATCATCCAACGCCTTTAGTCATTCATCACAGTTGTCACACGAGCTATATACGGGTACTATGCACCTGTAAAATCGACTGAGATCGATGATCAGTTATTTTATGACTTAATCTTGGGCCTTTGTTTGGTTGTAAATTGATTTCTTATAACCTACTCATACACCAATCAAAACAGAACGTAAATATAGTCAATGGCTAGGCATATGTCACACATTTTACAGCCACCTTAGTCAGTAAGACTTCACTACCTCATCAACTGATTTGTCCTCTTTACCTATTAACCTATGCCTGATAATCAGGCTTATTCACTTGGTCGTTCCACGATACTAGAACCATTTTTCAAGGATACCTGTAATCGGAACAGTTCAACTTATAGATGTCTTCTGTTTGCGTAGGGCGTGTTTCACAACCATGGAGAAACTATGACGAGTACCATGTCTTTGATTCATACACGGAAATCTCGCCTTCATGTTCCCGATCGAAGCTGCTACCTTGACGTGGTGGTCGGGCTTGCCTATCGTGATGACCCAATCGAGCTATACTGGCTGGAACACATGTTCCTGCATGTCCTACCATGCCAGGCCGGTCGATTGGAGAACGATGAGACTAAAAGCAGCTACCCAAGTTCTGTGGGCGAAGTCGTACTGCTGACTGCAGAGGGGTGTGACAGCAGTAAGGTGTTTCCCTCGGACAACCAGCATCTGCAGCGATGCTGCCTTGTCACAAGGAAGGAAGGGTTAGAAAAGATCGGCCCTAAAAATGTCACACCTCCCCTACCTCACGGATTTCCGTCTTCTTGGGTAAGGGTGCCCACTAAGGGCCTTTAAGAACGGAGCTAATCCTCTAAATACCTCTCATAAAATGGCCGTGCGTGACCGGCCTCAAGCAGTTGTCCCTTGGACTCTGCGGTCACGCACCAACACTAATCCATCTTCCTTTTCAGGTTCGTCAAGAAACAACCTTCCACGGTGTGGGCAGCCGGGAAGTGATAACAGCCCTCATACCCGCAACAGCACACGAGACAAAATGGTTCAAAATCAAATCCTTCCTACATTCCCTAATACCTCTCTTATCTCCACAACTAACTCTTCTCACATTCATTTATTACAGTGCACAGCTAATGCAAACGATGCGAGTTTGCGAAACGTCGTTCCTGGTCTCATTAAACCCCGTTCCAAACTACATGTTGGAGCATTCAATGTACGGACATTGTGTCAAATAGGGCAACAGGCGTCATTAGCTAGGACTTTGGAATCTCGTTCCATCGATGTGTGCTGCGTCTCGGAAACGCGCATACAGGATCCGAGTCACGTCATACACTTGACCACACCATGTCAAGATAAAGAAGCAGCTCGATTTACCCTTCGTGTATCCGGTAGCCCTGATGCTGCTTCTAGGGGCCTCGCTGGTGTAGGTATAGCATTGAGTCGTAGGGCAGAACAATCTCTCCTTGACTGGATCCCTGTAGATAGTCGCTTGTGCGCCGTCCGACTCAACGGGACAGTAAGGACTCGGAAAGATAGGGACACTCGCCGTTGCCTCTTCGTCATATCAGCCTACGCCCCCACTGACTGCAGCCCAGATGATGTAAAAGATGAGTTTTACAGAAAGCTCTCGGACCTCCTCCAAAAAGTTAAGCGCTCTGATATAGTTATAATGGCTGGTGACTTCAATGCACAAGTAGGTAGACTAGGTGATAATGAAAGACACCTAGGTGGATGTTACGGTCTCGCGGCTCAAAGAACAGACAATGGCGACCGTCTGTTGCAACTGTGCTCAGATAACCAACTATTTCTAGCAAACACTAATTTTAAGCATAAGGAAAAACACCTTTTGACCTGGCGACCCCCGAAGTCGTCTCAACGTTGGACACAACTAGATCATATCGCCATCAGCCACCGATGGAGGGGTTCGATAGAGGACTGTCGCTCGTTCTGGGGCACATGTTTAGATTCAGATCATGCTCTAATGCGAGCACGTATTTGTTTGAGGCTTGCTGGACGTAGGAAAGACACCGTAAGGAAGCCTCTTAGGGCTTTACTTGATGATAATCAAGCTAAGAAAATATTTCAGGAGGAACTAGAAAAACAGTTGGGCGATCATGCAAGTGATTCCCATCCGGAGTCAGGTTGGAATGATATAAAGAAGGCTGTGGAAACAGCAGTGATATCTGCTAGCAAGGTAAACCATAAGGCTAGGATGAAGCCGTGGATTTCAGTCGCATCCACCGAACTGATGGATGCTCGAAAACGCATCCCACCTGACTCTGAACATGATGAAGAGCGTACTCAACTTAGGCGCAGACTTATAAAAAGCCTACGTAACGACCGTGAACAGTGGTGGGTGGCGAAAGCAAAAGCGATGGAAAAGGCAGCGGCGATCGGCAACACTAGACAACTTTTCCGCCTTATCAAAGAAACCGGTATTAGGAACCCGAATGTGAGTGAGACTATCTCGGAAAAGGATGGTCTTATTATCCATTCTCAATCTAGGAGGCTGGACCGATGGGCAGAACACTTTAGGGATCAGTTCAACTGGCCTTCAGCCACTCTTCGGTTGCCCACGATCTCCAGTCATCCTGAATGGCAAATCGATTTAAGTCCTCCCAGTTTAAATGAAGTTGAGAAAGCTATAGGAAATCTAAGGAGAGGTAGAGCGGCAGGTCCCGATAGGCTTACCCCTGAGATGTTTAAGGATGGTGGTCCAGTTTTAACGGTTAAACTGACCGAGATCCTAGGTAGAATCTGGGAAATGGACGTAATCCCATCTGACTGGTCTCAGTCGCTAATTGTCCCAATCTACAAGAAAGGACAGAAGTCCTCTTGTGACAATCACAGGGGAATAAGTTTAACTAATATAGTTTCTAAATTGTTAGCCTCGATTATACTTAGACGTCTAACTAGAGCTCGCGAAGAGCAGACTCGAGAAAACCAGACTGGTTTTCGACCTGGACGTGGTTGTATAGACCACATCTTCACACTACGACAGGTCCTGGAACACAGACACACATTTAGGCGTCCGACAATAGTCGTGTTCCTGGACCTTAAGGCGGCATTCGACTCAGTGGATCGTGAGGTTCTGTGGCAGTGTCTGTCATTGAAAGGTGTACCAAAGAAGTACATTAACCTTATACAAGCACTCTACTCGAACACCACAGGCGTGATATCCGTTCGCTAACCAAAGGGCGGGTGTACTGCGCAGCAGTTCGTTCCGTTCTCTTATATGGCTGTGAAACATGGCCGTTAAGAGTAGAAGATGTTCGTAGGTTACTAGTATTCGATCATAGATGTTTAAGAAGCATTGCTCGTATATCGTGGGACAGCCGAGTAAGCAATGCTGTCGTTAGGAAACGAGTACTAGGTAAGGATGGCAGATCAATCGATGAAGTGGTGAAACTTCATCAGTTGAGGTGGTTGGGACATGTGTTACGTATGCCTAACCACCGGCTGCCTCGACGAGCTATGTTTTGTGGTGTAGGAGTAGGTTGGAAGAAAGCTAGGGGCGGCCAGACCAAAACATGGCAGAAATCCATGAAGTCACTGACAAGTGGACTGAGTCATGTTGGTAGATGTAGACTACCTGGTTGGGGTCCGCGAGACGAAAGTCATCAATGGTTTGAGACCTTGAACGACATGGCTCAAAATCGTTTGCAATGGCGCAGATGCATCCACTCTTTGAGCTCTCTCAAATCCTAATCTTCTGGATTCGTCAGCTCTTCTACCTTTGTCTTTCTAACCTTATCTCACTGAATTATATTTTTTTGAATAATATCTTAAACCCTAGTCTTCTTTATTATAACATTAATACCCCTACCATCTTTATCACTATGGGATTTGATTTGACATTTGCATCTCTGTGCTAATAATGTGGTATGGCAACATGAACTTATGTACATACGTACGAAGTTCTACGTTGCAACTGACTGACTGACTGCCTTCATGTTGGTTTGAAGCCAATATGTTGCTGAGTTGTTTGACATGACCTTGAGAATGAACGAATTCACTATCCTACGTTTTTCCACTGAAATTAGCAGATACTGGTTAGTGTTATTGACGTCACCAGTTGAGGTAAATTCGACAGTTATTAGAAACCAGAAATCTGTAAGCAGATGTTTCGTCCTGGTATAGGATCCTATATCTGTGAACATCCACGAATCCATTAGCAGTGATCAAACTCAATACTTTCGATCTTGCTTGCAAACGCTTAACTTGTAAACCAATAATCCGAGATCCAATGATGTATGCATGTATCTGGCTTAAATCAGTTGGTGATATTAATTGACTAGCGCCTCCATTGTTTTCTATAAAGGAAACTGACTGTCTTATTGGCGACAATGTTGAACTTTCTCAGTCGCAGCTTCTAACTAGAATTTCAGAAATATCTGCAGAAATCAGTGACTAGTATGCACATATGATAATTATCACTGTGTAGCCGTTTTTCACGATGATTGTATGTTAATCAGTATGCTGTTACACTATTCAATACAACTGAGGGAATAATCTGAATTATAGTGTTTTTCTCAGATATAAATTTCAATTTTGGTAAAGTTAAATTAATTCACTCATAAATCTCTAATAATATAACTGTTAGGTTCGTCACTAGGTACGCTTGAAGCTATTACGGGCTCACCTTAGTCGATAAACGCGAAAAAGACAATGAACCAGCGTCCAGGTAGGCTACCTTGATCCAAAAACGACAGAAGAGAAGTCTTGATATAGCGTAGAAAGTATATTCTACAAACACCCGGAAAGCACAATGCAATCAAGCACACAAATCTGGTTTATTTATACATCATGGAAAGTCCTTTGGACAGTCAAAAAAACATCACACTAAAATACACAGCAACCAATCACAGCCAAGGATTTTCCTGGTGGGAAATGAAATCTCAAGGTCAACTGATCAGCCCATACTCGCAAACGTGAAATCCAAAATAAGGCATTTATCAAGCGAGTTCTGGGGATCTAACATCCCCAACAATAACACTTACTAATATATACGCACACACACATATACAATTGAGATTACATATGGGTGTTTTGGAATATTTTCATTATCAACATGGTATTCTATGATATTTTCTCACAAACAGAAATATATATTGATTGAAATGGATTCAAGTTATGCACATTTTTTGAATAATAAATATATAAAATGAACTAATTATTTCGTAAACACTACTAACTTGATCAATTATTAAGAAACATTTGCCTGTACTAGTTTTTGGTGGTTGTCTAATAATTTCGGTTAGTTTGTGATGTGAACCAGAACGGTAACATTTTGGTGGCCAAGTTTCTGCCAGTTATTTCAGGGTCACACAACCGCCGTTACAGTCGATCACAGTAACCGCAGTCGGTGATATTTGGTCGGTGGATTTAAAGGGACCGTTTCCACAGACGGCGACCGGTAACCGGTACCTGCTAGTGATGACGGAGCATGCTACACGTTGGATAGATGCCGTACCCATCGCAGACCAGCGGGCAAGAACAGTGACGGAAGTAATGATCCGGCATATTGTAGCGTGCCACGGAATACCGAAAATGATATTAACTGACCAGGGTCCCTGTTTTGAAAGTGACGAGTTTAAAGGCCGTCTAATACAGTTTGGCATCAAGAGGATACGAACTACACCGTATCATCCTCAGACAAACGGGCTTACAGAGAGAAACAACCGGACGTTAAAGGAATGGTTAGCATCTAAAGGAGGAGTTTGGGAGAAAGAGTTACCATTGATTTTGCTGGCGCATCGTTCCTCCATACAAGGTACAACCAAGAAATCACCCTTCTTGCTCATGTATGGCAGACAACCGCGACTTCGATCGCACAATAAGACCTGGCCACAACAACAGAAATGGACAACAACAAGGTTAAGAAAAGAGAGGAGGGAGGCAATCAGGAACGTGGGAAAGAAGCAAATATCAGACATAAAGAAGGCGGAACAACAGAGGAGAACGTGGAAACCTTTTGCAGTGGGGGACCTAGTAAAGTGTAGAGAACAAAAAAGTAGCATAGCAGGGGGATCAGGATGGGGAAAGCTGATCCCAAAGTGGGACGGACCATACGTTACCACGGAGAGACGCAGCACGGTGTACACGATCCGGAGAAGAAGACAAGCAGAAGCGTGTAAATGCCAGTCAACTGCAGAGATTTCAAGATTATCAGTCACGGAAAGCACCAACGAAGACGGCGATATGGCATTCAGAAAGACTACGACGACAGCTTATTAAAAAGGGGGACGAACGTGGTGCGCGCTACTGATAAGTAGTATATGATGCGAGTGTAAACGTAATGTCTGGCAGCAGAAGATGGGGGAAGATCAAGAAAGGAAGAGTGGGAACACAGTGGAATTTGTATGAAACGCATGAATAGTGAAATGTCAGACAATGGATTGATGATAGATTGAAGATTTGCAAATTAACGATTTACGATATGGTTTTCCTATTTTACTGAGTAACTCTGTAATTTTCGGTTGCCCTCGCCTGTGAACTAAAACGGTAACATTTTTCGATGGTTAATTCAAACTAGCTTCATTGGCTAAGTTTCTGCCAGCCATTTCAAGGTCATACGGCAAAGGTTCATCGTTGTTGTTGTCAAAGAAATTGGTCTTTCATTTCATATTCTGAATCTAAACTTCCATTTATTTTCGGTTCAACTTTACAAATGATTAGTTTTTCTTCTCTCTTTTTTCCGTTTCACAGCGTGATGATCTTATTTTATTGCTTCTGCAATTGAATCGTGAAAAAGCTAATTTAAAAAGATGGTATGAATATTTCACTTATCAAATTGATCAAATTCGATTAGTCAAAGGGTAAGTGTCATTTATCATTTTTGAAACCATGAGTCGATCAATGTTAGATCACCATTAGAAGCCTGAAAGCACTGAACGGCCGTTTCGTCCTGGTATGGGAGTCATCAGCAGTGCGCATCCACGACAACTGCACCCCCAGTGAAGTTCAACCTGTTCGGGTGTAGGCAGTGTCTACCGAAGACTGTGTTTGAGGTTGCGTAACTCCGTGAATTTGATCAAGTTAGACATTAACACCGCCGCCTCAGTGGTCTGACGGTTGGGGTTTCCGCGCACAATACCGAAGGTCCTGGGTTCGAGTCCTGCGGGGTGCAGGAGTCGTGGATGTGCACGGCTGAGTAGTCCCATACCAGGACGAAACGGCCGTCCAGTGCTTCCAGGTTTCTAATGGTGTGGTCTAACATTGATCGATTCATGGTTTCAAAAATGTGTAACTTAACAATCTTCACAACCCCGTAATATCGTTTATCACTGTTTGTTCTTTGGTAGAAAATAGTGATTTCACAAACTGTTGAAATGGGTGTGCAATTGGTTGTTGAGTTAGTTTTATTTACCAAACTTTTTTTTTCACTTATTGAACCGGTGAAATGTCTGTTTATTTGTTTATATATCAATCAATCAATGAGAAACTATATACTGTGCTCACAAAAACATGATCTTTGAAAAATAACAAACTTGAGTAGATTGTGGAAGTATTTGATCACCACCGGTGTTGAAGAAGTAGTACTGATTGTGTAAGGTGAAATCATGAGCTTATAAAGTTATCGTTGTATGTTGGCTATCAAAATAATCCAGGAGATAGGTTTCGTTTCATTCAGGACTCGTCAACTTGTTAGGATATTCATCCAATATCCTGAGAGAATTATTGGTCAATTCCTATTGGTTAATTCCTACTGGTCAATTTTATGGTCGTCCTAGATATCAATGTCACGTGCTCCAATGTTGTTTCTTATTGGTTGTCCTGACTATCAGTGTCACTTCAAATGTTGCTTCTTATTGGTCGTCTTAACTGTCAATGTCACAGACTTCGATGCTGTTTCCTATTCGACCAAAATGTATAAATACGCATTATTTGTAACGTTTTATGACCACGACCAGGACCAGGGCTCGGTCCCGGATCCCTAGTCCGGGATCCCGACTCTCTTCTGGATTCGGACCTCGTAATTTCTGGATGCTTTTAGAATACAGGTTCTACTTCATATCACGTCTTCTTATTTTTACTAAATATGGGGATTGGGATAATCGGATTTGAAAAATATGTCGTGTCACCGGATCCTCGATCGTCGCTCTCGTTTCCGACTAAGTAAACTCGTGATAATTTAAGCATATCAAGTTGATGTGTTTACGTGCAGGCGTAACACAACTGGATGATTCAACTGACTAGTCATTTATGAATCGAAATCCATCCAGCCACCTGCATATAAACCAGCGACTATTTGTGTATCCATTAGTTTTAGTGGATAATGTAGTGGGATTTGACGTAACAACGGTACTCTTGGTTTGAGGTATGGCGTGAACATTTAACTCTAAAATACACAGGTACATCCAACTGACGAGTCCGAAACACAATGGCACTATCGTTTTGGATTACATTAATGTAACATTTTTTACTTTGGGGCATGTACTACGAATGCCCAACGACCGACTGCCTCGACGAGCAATGTTTTGTGGTTTAGGTTTAGGCTGGAAGAAAGTTAGGGGCGGCCAGAGCGAAACACAGCACAAATCCATGAAGTCACAGACAAGTGGACTGAGCCATGTTGGTAGATGTGGACTCCTTGGTTAGGGTCCGCGAAACGATAGTAACCAATGGTTAGAGATCCTGAATGACGTGGCTCAAAATCGTTTGCGATGGCACTGGTGCATTCACTATCTGTGTTCTTCCAGATTCTAAACTTTCTGAATTCCTGATCACCTTGATCTTTTTCTTTTTAAGTTTCTGTCTCCAGATTGTACTTCTTGAATAATACCGTCGAACCCTAATCTTTCCGATTACTGCTAATAATTCTACTCCCTCTACTACTATGGGATTCGAATTGATAATTGCGTCTCTACGGTAATCTGGTTAGACAACCTGAACTGATGTGCGTACGTAAGTACGAAGTTATACGTTTTAACTGACTGACTGTATTGTTTATTTTCACATTTTATTAAACAGAACTCATCAATTAATTAACATTGAACAGAATTCAGTGAATTTGTAATCGATGTGTAGTTGTAACTTTGTCATGTCATGTCATATTATATTAAGCTGTGTGACATCCATATATATTTCTATTGAATATTTTATTTGAAATTCATTATTTCTGAAAGGAAGAATGCAATCGAATAATTTTGACATATTATTTTGTTAATGTGTTAACTCTACTTAGTGGTTTCATGAATTATCTTTGTGTGTGTGTATGTGTGTGTGTGTGTGTGCGCGTTATCTGAATTTTCAATTAGAGTTGATATATGCTGTCCTGAATAATGGTTACATTTATTATGACTTCATTTAGCATTCAATAACCAATTGATTTTTCTAAGATAAGTTTTCTACCTTGAAGAAAAAATTAAACCAGACTAATAAAAGCGTTAATGTTGAAATTACTGTGAGATTTATTCAGTAATAAGTTACTATGCTTGTAGTGAATGAGAACATACGCGGGGCAACAGGATTGTATTTAACGCGAATTACAGAGTTACTCAGTAAAATCGGAACACCATATCGTAAATCGTTAATTTGCAAAATATCAGTTCATCATCATATCGAACAGGAGGACTGTTCCTGTTGCAAAACATCAACAATCCATTGTCACTCACTATTCATGCGTTTCATACAAATTCCATTGTGTTCTAACTCTTCCTCCTTTCTTGATCTTACCCCATCTTCTGCTGCCAGACATTACGTATACACTCACGTCATATACTACTTATAAGTAGCTCGCACCGCAGTAGTACAGTTTAAAAATGAAATCAATCCCTTTAAACCTCTTTCAGTTAGTTAATTCGCAAAATCCTCTTTTTCTTAAAAAATTGATTTTAGCAATACCAACGAATCAAAATCCGATATAGCTGTAATTCAATCTGAATTGAATGATGTCATTAGTCAATTGAAATTATCCGATCCTTTAATAAAATTTCTTGATAATATGATTCGTATGGGTGATGTTTACGGTGGTGATGATGTATTATTCGCAAGTGAATATCGAAGAGTAAGTAAATTCAATTTTTTAATTAAATAATTTACAATGATAGTGTTAACGGAACATGTGATTGGATTGGATTGCGTTGTGGCACGCTGATTGGCTCTTTGGTATCATCCAATCAGCGCTAGCCAATACTGTGGGGAACATTCTAGAATCTTCTCATGCTGATGTCTGTTTCCTTTTGACTTTCTGACTTCCATTTAACCATGTTATTTGGAATATAATCTCTATTTCCTGTTCAACCGTGTTTGGGGGAGAATGTCTTGAGTGCATTAGTGTCCGAGAATACTCTAAGCATTAGGAATAGCTGAGTTGTAATAAAGCGAGAATTATGATAGATAGATAGATTGATGGTTTTTGCTTGGACGAGTAGGGAAGTATTTACTTGGTTATATTGATTTTAACAAAAAAAATAAAGAAAGTTTAATACAGAATTGGTTTAATGGTCATAATACTTGAATTTCAAACGTTACCCAGTCAAGTTCGAACATTAAATCCACTTACATTTGGTAAAATAAATTATTTTGAAGTCGAGAATATCAATCAACACTTCATTACTCAACTGTTGCAGTGATAAATGTCAGTAGTATGATCCTTAGAAATTTCTACAATGAAACAGTGGATTGATCAAGTTATTTTTAATTGCATATATATAGGTTTAAATGTATCTTCTACAGTAGTTACTCTTTTACAGGATAGAAAAAAGGGTCTACGTTCGAATCCAAGGGTGTATTCCTAAAACTTCTAAGTTAACGTTAACTCAAATCTTTTAGGATTCCCATTTCAAAACACCTTGACTCAAGGTGACTAGGTCGGTGGAATAGAATCTTTCCGGATCGATTGACAATCAAATTCTAATCAACGGTTTTTAACTCTGGTGATCTGTTACTACAACACAGGAGATGTTGAATCTTCTCTCACACATATTTTAGACGATTCAACTATTGACCAGTTGACTAAACAATCTCTTACTGAAATCAAATGGTCTGTTATACAAATACATATATATATATATATATATATATATATATATATATATATATATGACTCTCTTAAGGTAGCCAAATGCCTCGTCATCTAATTGAATGGGTATATTAGGTGACGCGCATAAATGGAGCTTTCTGGGGTTTGTGGTGGCGGCTACCTCTTCGTGGTCCTGTCAGGCAACGTGGCGTTGTTTACAGCGCTGCGGCTAAAAGCCTTTCCGAACGCTTAAGGTACCGTGCCAAGCACGGTCCAGAATAATGGTACGTGTTCATGGTCGCAAGGCTGTGGATGCGGTTCGCCACTCTGGAGGATTAGGACTGAACGTCTTCAAGTCTGAATCCCGTCCATCGATCAAAGGTAAATTCCGATAATGGTTTGAGGACTTGTCTTCTATCATTCCGTAGTAGCAAATACCTTTAAAGGGATGTAGCTTTCCAGGATGATTGAAGGCGGCCCTGGACGTTCTGTTTGGGGAAGCAGCCGTAGACATCCTGGACTATTGACGCCGACCCTATGTGGTTGTCCCTTACACTCTGCACCCGATGTAGTGTGTGAACTGGCGTCGAGGCCCCTTAAACAAGGGTCTCCAGTAGGGTTCCGGGGTTCCATTGCTGAACTGGTACTGGACGCCAATGATGTCTGCCCACTTACGTAGTGGGATGAACCCTGTTTGGCTGAGCGCTTGCACTTGGTCGAGCTCATGACATCTTCCTCATGGAAAGGTGTACGTTCCGGCTGACCTTGTGGGACAAACTCGATCTTTAGCTTCATGTGGGGCCTTGGGGACTCCGATCGATTGTATCAGCGCAAGGCAGTTGGAGGCCAGACGGTTGGAACGGCTGCTGGCTAGTGCACTGCTTGGATGGCTCGGTAATCCGCTTCGGGGTGCCAGGTCCAGCTGGGTAAGCCCGCCTTGCCGCCCTTGCCGATTGGGGTTTGTGGGTAGTGGACTGGTTGGAGGGATCTTGTTGATTCATAAGTGCCCGAGCGGGGGCCACTGCTCGTGTGCGTGCTTTTTGGACGTCCACCTGTCTGCAGACCAAACTGGACAACATGTATGTTCTCGATTGGGGCAGGGGTGATTGCTGTTTGCTACAGTGAGAATCCTTGTGTTGCCTAAAAAGCAGCGATGTGCATGTGCAGCAGATTTGATGGTTAACCATGACTACATATATATGACATTTCATGAAACTACAATCCATTGTTTACTAATCGATTACTGACTAACTATTGTTGCAGAAAATGAAATCAATCTGAATACACTAGTGAATGAAGCCGAAGTCTAGAACTATTTTTTAATCATACAAACAGTTCATTCCGACATAATATTTCTGTGTTAGTTATGTGAAATTATGAAATATCTTGTAGACTATATGGATAAACTTATTCGACCTGGATGGAAACAATATAATGACTGTCTAGCGAATTTCAAAATCATATTTTTCAGTTAATACTTAATCTGAATTATTCTCTGTTGTGATAATCAGGCGATTTCGCTTATTTAATAGCTGCCCAATTAACACTATTTATG